TACGTGCGTATTACCTTATAGAATGTGCTAAATTATCTGTCATCAGCCAACGCATGCTGTCAGTGGAATGCAGTGCACAGCTCCTTGCGGTTCTTTTGCAAACAGTCTGGGCACTACGTCTATTCACATTCAAAATACATTCATTATTGTGAAATGCGCGCGACGCTACCTTCAGTAAGCGACCGCCAAAATTCAGCATAAACTGAAAATCTAGCCTACTTCACACAGCTAGTGTACTTGTAGTCTAGTGCTGCAATTTTTTATATTTAACTTCGTTCTACCTGGCATCTACCCTGAGCGGGTGTGAAACAGTGTATTTTCTGTCACCGACGAAATTTGGAACCATCTTACTTGTGACCTGGAGTCAAATCTCTCAGAAACCGCTGCAATATAGCTATAAATGTGATAAGCCACAAAAATATAGACCACTTAAATGCAATGCGACGCAACCATCAAGCATTTTCGTTTAGGGAGTTCATTTAGACCAAGGTGTCATTGGCTGGTCGCTAGGCACTGAATGATAGTTGAGACTTAAGTAATACAATTATCAAGTAACGGCATACCTAACATAACCAGCCTATAGACCTTTTCATTTCCTATTTCCTTTTCATTTGAGTGGAGGGGGCATTGTGGTTCCTTAGCAAGGATGCAGTTTCCTGTATTAAGTTATCATTTGAATCCATTATTGTTCATTTATTATAATTTTAAAGGGCTCAGACTCCAAAACGAATTTTGAGAAACTACATCCCTGCTCCCACCTGTGAAAAGAAAGTGCGTCAAATTGGGGGAGAAAATGTTCTAAGTGCATTTCAGAGGCAGGCGTAGGCATTTTTTCTTATCACATCCCGCCTTCCATTTTCCCCCCTCACCCCTAGGTATTTTTCAAAATTGCATCCCTGTAGCCGTACATTTATCGAGTACATGGCTCTACAAGCGCCTGAAACAATACCACTTTTGGTTTTGTGATGTCATCTTACAATCAGCTGGAAGCGTTGGCGACATTCACTATCTTTGCGTAATGATTGCCCGAGCAGAACTTGCTCTTCCTAACATGACACAAATTATTTAGCGCAAAATTCACGCAGTACTGGTTTCAGTAATTACAAACGACATTTTTGAACACCTTTGGCACCTTCATTTAGCTTCATATGAAATATGACAATAATACTAGCCTTATGCCTCAGAGAAAAACCAGAAGAATGAAGATGTAGGTGGATTGATATTTCGGCGACCTGTCTGTATCGAAACAATAGAAATTCACTTCTGCTGCTGTTTCGACAAAGACATGTTGCCGAAATATCAACTCACGTATATCTCCATTCTCCTGGTTTCTCCCTGAGGAATTCATTCTTCCCGATGGCTCGGAGTGGCCGAACGCTCACTGAATCACCGCCAGCGCGCATGCGCGGGTTCTCTCATGGTGACGCTGTCGTCCCCCCATTCTTTGTTCGTTGCTTTGTCGAGTGAAGTTGACTAATTAGTCTGGCTTGTCGTCCGGATCCGGTTAAATTACCTTTTTAAATTAGTTATTCGTTCGTTTTTTTATACTTCGGAGCGGCTGAGCTCATACAAAACTTAGTCCAACGCGCATGCACGGATTTTCTCATGCTCACGATGTCTCATCTCCTTGCTTTTTTCGGCTTCATCCTGCTTGGTTGATTGATTAACTTCGCATAGCATCTGTGCCCATCTAATCTTTTTGTTTTGTTGTTAGCATCTTCTTTTTTATAATTCGCAGCGGTCTAACTCCGTCGAGTCCTGTCCAGTGCGCACACGCGGTTTTCTGTAACCAGAGCGTGTTTTTTCCCTTTTTCTGTGTTTTGCTTTTGTGTCACTCGGTCCAGCTCGATTTTACCGAGCGATCTTCGCACGGGGTCCATGCTCGGTTGGCAAAGACCCCTCTCCTCCTAGAGGCATTCGCTTCAGACACCGGAGGCACAATGCGGGGAAACCGATGTCAGACTTTCCGAAGCGGACCGGGTCACTGGGCGTTAAGCCGGCAATGGGAAAGAGATCCCCTGCCAAAGGGTGCTAAGGAACTGTAATAACGTGCACTGAGCCCTCTACGTCGCGAGAGACCATCCTGGACTCCGCGAGACCAAAGGAGGTTGCTCGCAATACGCTGGCTGGGGTAGCGCCCGGGAGACGCGGATGACATCTACCCGGCATCGGCGCTCGCGGCAGACAGCGCACGACGAAACGCAAGGGCAACGCGGGCACCCGCGACCCGCCTGCAGAGGACCACTCCTTACGGCGTGGACGGACGACGGAGTTAAGCGCTCGTGACTCGCCGAGAAGTTACGGGCTCGCGCTGCGCCCCGAACGCATTGGAGTTGGAACTCGCTGAAACCGCGTGCAAACGCAAGACCACATCATACATGGGTCGGGGCTTGAGACGAGTCCATTCAACATGATGATGCTCTTCTGTCGCCCCGTTTTTTCTCTTAAAGCTGAGGTAATGCCGGCTATTTTGTCGTTGCTTGCGCAGCAGGTCTCCCCACGCAAAGCCCGTCGTGCCGTCGACGGATTCACGAGCGTTCGCGGCGCAATTTACTAGCGTTATTCGCCGCTCGCGTGCGATCCCCGCTGAGTTGGGCGTACCATGAGATCCACGACCGTTCATTTTTCTCAATGCATCTGGCTCCGTTTCTGTCCCGTTTCAATATTACCACCAGGCAAACAGCGGAGCTGATTCACTGCTTGACCCCTTCTCTGTGTTCACCGTGGTTGAGGGCGTGCAACCATGTACACCGTGGTTGAGGGCATGCAGCCATGTACGGTGCGATTGTAGTTCACGGTGCCCAACCAAACTTACCGTTCGCCGATACCTCGGTCACCCGCTTCATCCTAGCTGTGGCTGACATGTGTGTGTTAATGTCGGGTGCATCGGAGTCATTACATGTCGATTCGGACGCGTAACATCATAACATCATTCGGTTCGTATACCGACCCGTGGGCTACTCATAATAAATTTGCTCTCGTGAGGAAGCGTCGTAGAGGCTGCGGAGCGGCGCCCGCGCACGCACCAACAGTAATGTACGAGTACAGATGCAAGGTAAAGGTCTGTTTGGCACGTACATTTTGTGCCACATAGCTTGATTTTTCTGCTCTCCTGGGGGATGTCAAACAGAGAACGTAGAGGGAAAAGGGGGTTAGGTAGAGCAAAAGGTAAATCAATTGAGGTAATATGACATTTGTATACGCCCCACCGAGCCCCTTTCGTCGCGAGCATTCGTATGATGCTCACCGTAACGCTGTTTGAAATATCTGGATTTGAAGAGCACTGCTGCTCCCCCAAACGTTATCCTTATTCCCTTTCGCCCAAGTAATCCACTATCTAGATTTTTGGCCAAAAGGTGTAATCGGCATGGTGAGAGAGGGCTAAGGGCTTTGCTTCTAGCGCGTTGGTGATGCTTAATGTCCATTTTCATGACATCCTACTGACCTACTCAAGTGAAAATAGTTTGAAAATTCATTTTTTTATGCGCACCCTCCAGGCACACCATGGTTTAGATACCAATGACACCACTGAACTCAGGTTAAGCCAAGCTAATCCTAGGCATCCATCTGGAGGTGTGAAACCCGGCGATGTGTGAAATATAATGGCATTAAATAGTCGGTAAAAACGGCTGTTCCAAGTGAGGGTGACAGGCCCCGGCTGCTTAAGTTAGAACCTGCATTGTTTTTCAGCGGCGATTGTTCTATGCAAATTGTAATGTGATATGCAACATAATTTGTATTTGCAATTAATCAAATTACAAAAAAATGTACTTACGACGGCTCTATGTAATTTAGGAACACCGCCTTATACGCTTCTTGTTGGTGCGACGAAGATGCGAAATCTAAAGCATATTCCAATATCAAAGCAAGATCGTTATTCATTTGTTTGAATGATGCTTCCACGAATACTTGTTTTGCAACCGCTTCATTGATTGGTTTCAATGCGAATAAACTGCATGACACGACGGAATACATATGCGGGCTTTCGTGCTCCATTGTTTGCAAACTTTGCAGGTCAACTTGAAGAAAAATATGCAGCCGCTAGCATTTACAAGTACTTAGGTACTTGGTGGTGAGGTGTAGAACGCTTATAGATGTTGTAGCGCGATTTATGCAACCGAGGGACATTTTCAGCCTATTGACTGCATGTTTCACAGCATTTAAGCTTGTGAGCTGAAATGCACCTACATTTCAGTCTGACGAGGCTGTGGTCAGCTGTGGTCAGTCTGACGAGACTGTGGTCAGCTGTGATCAGTCTGACGAGACTGTGGTCAGCTGTGGTTAGTCTGACGAGGCTGTGGTCAGCTGTGATCGGTCTGACGAGGCTGTGGTCAGCTGTGGTCAGTCTGACGAGGCTGTGGTCAGCTGTGCCCAGGTCTGACATCAGCGTGCGCAGATGTGACCGGTTGTGACAAATGGTCTCAGTGGTTGTCAGTGTGAATTTACCGCAGTCTGATGTGGTGTACTCAGAGGAACACTAACCGGGCGTGGTTAGTCCAGCCTGACTGTGAGCAGATGTGGTAATCGTGGAACAGATGGCATTCAAAAACTAAAGGCGGATGAAAAAATGCCACCTCTCTGAACTTCAAGGAAAATGTAAGCAAGTTACTCTCAAATGAAGTTTGTCTTGTACTACTCCTTGGGTTAATGGGGTTGCGGAAAATGATACCCGTGGAGCTTCCGAAAGTCAAGGATATCAGTTTGGGCCCTAACCTCTCCCCCCCCCCCCTCCAAGGCAGCGTTTTGGGTCCGCCTTCGTCGATATGATAGTTCTTTTAGCCTCCGCTGTCAGATGTCAACATGTACAGACACCACTCTGCGGGATCCGTGCAGACGTTTGGACGGGGATCCCGCCCGGCAGAGACGTGACGTTGCGATGACGTGGGGATTCAAGCTCTGGGTGAGGACAGCGGGCTGGGTGTATGGTAAAATCACCACTGTGGGGTGTAGTTTGAGTCACTGCAATATCCTCGCACAGCTCAAAAGTACTAGTCGAGGGGTTTTCAATGTATTTTTGTTAGCGCTAGATACGCTCAGTCGTACTCCTTGTACTACTACTGACTGACTTGTACTACTGCACTACTGCTTGACCTTCATGTTCACTACCACCGGCCACCGCATGATTTACCTTCCGAAAATTTGGCGTACATGCATGTGGCTAGACGAAAAACGCCGTCGCTCTGACACGCTTATGGCGCTGCCTGTCGACGCAAAGCTGTCCTGGAAGTCAATCCATGGCATTGCAGTCCCATTGGCAGGCTCATCCGTGCGTCACGCAATCATATTGCTTTAGGCAACAATCCGGGTACACGGCGAAACGGTCGACCAGGATCTCAGTGCAGGAGCTGTGGGGTTTGGGGGGCATCGAGCTGCACCTGAAACACGTGAGCGGCGGGTCACTTAGTCAGCTCGATAATATGGTGCATAGGCATGGTTAGATCCCTGTTTCTACCCAGCGCATTGTTTGCATTCCTCTTCCTTCGCACCTGTATGGTGCGAAGAACAAACTCATCTAAAAGAATTGACACCTTTGCACCCTTGCGATTCGCATGTTCATGCGCGGTGTGCGTGAGACGCAGGCTCAACGGCACGCCGCGGCAGGCACGGCACGGCACGAGACGGCACGGCACGGCACGGCATGGCACGGCCCTGAGTGGTTTTATAGACGTAATGGGGAGGACAGAAAAGTGGAAGAGGGGGCACAGTTGGAACGGTGTTGTCATTTTCTGCCCTTTGATTTCTACCGTCCTGCATTTTTCTGACTTGCGTCCTCCGTCTTCTTTCCTCTGCTTTCTCTTTGTTATCTCTATTTTTCTGACCTCTGATCTCGCTGAACTCTTACCTTTCCTCCATCTCACACGAGCTGACCCTGCCCTTCCCTGTCCGCCAGTGTTCTTCGCCATGTACTGCCCTTTGCCATGGTCCGCACTTTCGTCTACCGCTGTCCTGCTCCGTTCTCTGACCTGCACTGTCCTCCGCCCATCCCCATTCTGTGACCCACCCCGCCCTCCGTCCTGCCCCGTTCTCTGGCCTGCCCTGTCCTCTGCCCTGTCCCGTTCTTTGACCTGCCCTGTTCACCGTCTTGCCCCGTTCTCTGGTCTGCCCCATCCTCCGTCCTGCCCCGTCCTCTGGCCTTCCCTGTCCTCAGTCCTGCCCCGTTCTTTGACCTGCCCTGTTCACAGTCTTGCCCCGTACTCAGGTCTGCCCTTTCCTCCGTCCTGACCCGTTCTCTGACCTGCATTGTGTTCCATGCTGCCTTGCCGCATGTCTTGTTTCTTCCTGCTCTGCCCTGTTCTCGATAATTTCCCGGCTTGACCTGTCCTACTGTCTATACTGTTCTGCTCTGCTCCGTGAAGCTCTTTGTCCAAACTATTCCCTATCTCTCTGCTCTCTCTCTCTCTCTTCTCTCTCTCTCTCTACTCTCTCTCTCTCTCTCTCTCTATCTCTCTCTCTCTCCTCTCCTTCTCTCTCTCTCTCTCTCTCTCTCTCTCTCTCTCTCTCTCTCTCTCTCTCTCTCTCTCTCTCTCTCTCTCTCTCTCTCTCTCTCTCTCTCTCTCTCTCTCTCTCTCTCTCTCTCTCTCTCTCTCTCTCTCTCTCTCTCCTCTCTCTCTCTCTCTCTCTCTCTCTCTCTCTCTCTCTCTCTCTCCTCTCTCTCTCTCTCTCTCTCTCTCTCTCCTCTCTCTCTCTCTCTCTCTCTCTCTCTCTCTCTCTCTCTCTCTCTCTCTCTCTCTCTCTCTCTCTCTCTCGCTTCTCTCTCTTCTCTCTCTCTCTCTCTCTCTCTCTCTCTCTCTCTCTCTCTCTCTCTCTCTCTCCTGGTCTCTGCTCTGCCTTTTTGTCTTCCCGGTCGTCTATTCTGTCCTCTTTCCCGCTCTCCGTCTCATTATGTGCCCTACTCTCATCGCAGCCATCTTGCCTCTCATTTGCGCCGTGTTCGGCAACGTCGAAACTCTATACTGCCCTCGATGCTGCCAGCAGCTCTATTTTCTTTCCTTTGCATGCCCCATACTCCGCACCGAATCGCTCTACCCTGACCTGGGTTATGAACACAACAAACATATGTTCATGTAAATATTCTTAGATCAAGGTATGCTACAAGGTTTTGCTGTTGAAAGCTAAACTTATGTCAAAGAGCCAGGGGCAGATTCCTATGAACTACCATGTGAAAGTTACATAACCGTTGTAGGAATGGCTGGGCAGCCGACTGGATTTCGTTTCAATGTGTTTTGTAGGAATGAAATCAAATAGTAAAATGTGTTTTAATCGGTGATCGATATCCAGCATGATCTGACTTTGTATGACCAGAGTTAGGAAATTGCCAAGACTCTAGAGGTGTGAATAAAAATAGGAGTACACTACATCAAGCCAGTCTACATCACACTTTATTTCAGAGAAGTGTTATTTTCCATCGTAGATAAAGCGCGATATGAAGCAACGAACGCCTCATTTTCTCGGAAGGCAATGAAGTTTTTACCTCAAGTGTTCAAGTGTCTAAGGACCTGCTGTTTTCAAACTTCTAATAAAGAAACTTAAGATACTGAAAACACCCTAGTTCGTTACCTTCCGTACTCATAATTATGTATATTTTGGTTCATGGTGTCACTTTAGTATTTGTGGCGACCCGGTCTGCCCATTCATTTCATATGTCAAGCATGTGCTTAACCAGACGCATGCAAAGGACATCCCAGAATTACTGTTGCTGCTCCCTAATCATTTGTTGTCTCCCCTGACCGTGATGGTAAACTCCCCAGAATGCCGATAGGTGGCCGTGCACTGCTGCTGCTGCTGTAGTAATCAACTTAGAGCAGAGAGAAGTACATGCTGGTGAAAGTGGTCCAAAATGACAATCCTGACATACCCTAGTTACTTAGCATGACATGTGATAGCTACTACTGCCCGCCATGTCATAATGGGACCCTTCATTAGCTACAGGCTAGTGGCATGTCCGCGCAGTATTACAATGTGCCACAACATACTTACGTCTCATGTGTTAGCAGAAGTTCGTCATTCTCCTTGCTGCATTTGAGCACCGCGCACTCTCTCAGGTGCTTGGTGGCTCCAACTTTCAAGTAGCTCTGGAAATCTTCAAGGTAGCACTCGTCTTCATGTCCTGGGCCGGGAACAGATTGTCAGCTCGTGGTCCCGTGGTCGCCGTGGTGTACGCCGCTCTTGCATCACAGTGCAACTCCAGCTATCAGCAACGTTACCGGCAGCGGCGCGGCCATGGTCATCAGTCGCGTTGGTGTTGGACTGCTCCGGCTGTCGTCACCACGGTCGGCCTTCAACAGCGGGACACATGGACGGGGAGAGGGCTCTGTGGGGCGTAGCAAAAGTGTAGCGAGGGAGGGGGAGTGTAGCAAGTGTAGCAAGGGGAGGGCAGCTGAAGAGCCGCATCGTTGTGCTCCGCTTCGGCTTCTAAAAATGCTGAAATATTTGTGCTTAGAGTTAACAGCGTAAGCGGGGAAAAGATCTCTCGTAGTGACACGCTGCAATGTCCCCTCTTCTGTAAAACGGGAAAGGGCAGTCGGGGAACGTCCCGTGATCACGAGCCCAAGGTAACTCGGTGCACTGCATGGTCACGGCCCTGACGGTTTTCTGTGAAAACAGACCCGGCGCGAAACGACCAGTCGGTGGAGTCTCTTGCAATGTGTTCATTCACCCACGCAGTGGAAGCGGGTCACGAGAATGGCCCAACACCCGTCTTCACAAGCCACTGGGGGACATCCTGAGGCGGTTCACATAGATGTACTCGGGTGGTAAGAACGGGAGATGCGTTAAACAGAGGAGCGCCGCACAGCGAACCTCGAGCGTAGCAAGCCCAGCGCCGAGAAAAATGGCAACACACACATTACATACAAAATACATTTTCACTTTTAAAACTACCTAGTCAAGTTTCTGCGCCACGCGCGCTATTAACAATGCCGAACATCCCGCAAAAGATAGTGCCTCGGCCTTCCATAGGGGGAGGGAAGGGGGGGGGGGGCTGAATAGCGTAAGATGGGCAGAGACTAAAGCCTAACTTCCCCCCATACAGTTGGATACGAAACGGCACCGCTGCACACAATGGTCAAACCACAAAAATTTCCACATTGCTATACTATCAACACTGCTGACGATGTCATCCACGCTCCATTAGCTGGCGTTGCCTGCCGATGTGACACATACAAGCGGTGCATGCGTGTCACAATGTTGAGTTGTGCATAGACGTATACGTGGCGGACAGGGTCTGCAGTAAGGCAGTCACGTTGGCTTAGTAGTTCACTGACAACCACATGAGCAGTGAAGCCATCCTGGGCGCTCTCACCTGTATGAGTGATAAGTGACGCTGGATAAAATGCTAGAGCACGTGCCACACGTGTTGCCGCCTGGCAGTGTGACACTAGCACAATTACCAAAACCAGAGCTGCGAAGCGGTGCATGTTGCGAAAAAGGGTGCCTGAAAAGGATACTTCACTGCACGAAGTGCCAGCAGTCGCGCAAACGGAACGGTGTGGTCACTATGCCGTCTGCGCCAGGTATGTCAGATTCCGCCAGGTACCACGATGCTCTCAGACATACGCAAAAACCGGTTGGCGCACCCCTTGGTGCAGAAACCGGTTAGTGCACGGTCGTCAAGCGTCTAACTCTTGACCTCCTACCCGTGATTACCATCCCCGACTCCCCAGCCCTTAATGCAAACTCGATCCCCTATGACTACGTCCATGCCCTGCGGTGACCTGATCTGAAAACAGTCAGCTCCTGTTCGTTTCACACTCAGGAAAGGCCACTGCCCGTCTTTTAATGAGCGTTTTGCTGCTGGTTTCGTGCTTGCCATTTGCGGCATCACAGGTCACACAGTCAGTCCTGGCTGCTGCATCAGATTCTGGGATTTCAGCCCCCGACACAACGTGGCTTTGACGCAGGCACAGCCACTGCAGTGCATTCTCGGTGCCTGAAAAAGATCTAGCTTGACTCATTTAATCATGGCTTATTGCGAGCGAGGCCTTGGGTCGAAAGAGGATCGCCGACAAATCGGAAATTGTGTATTTCATGCAGCCCATGTAGGCGCCCCTGCCCAGTTACGCTTTTGCGGAACTAATATATTTGCAGCGAACTATCTCTCCGACATGAAGTTTTCAGCAAGCAAAAAATCGTAATCGTGTTCCTCAAGGAAGTTGTAGACTCACCCATTCGCTTGCCTGCTTTTAAGAAGCAGTTTGGTGCGGGTTGTTACAATTTTCTTAATGTTTCGAGCCATCTCCTTTGCGTATGGCATACAATTGTGGTTATTCGGCTTGCGTTCATAATTGTTTTCTGCTTTCACATTCTTTTCCAGCAGGTCATTGGTAAGAGGGCCCGGTTTACGACCCAACGGTCTGCGGCGGGGCGGGTTCGGGCCGTTTAAGGCGCTTACTATCTGCTCTTTATTGGGATAACTGCGAAGCGCAACTTGGCTGCGAGCTGTCATTTTGTGGGTGGCTTAGATTTGTGTGCAGTTCATAGCAAACGTCTTTTCCTAAACACGTTGTTGATGTCCCAGCGCAGCTTTGTTTGTTCACAGCATGCGTCTTAGCATAGTGGCTTGATATGATCATCCAAAATGCCCATCGTTGATCGTTCATGGAAGGTGGTCAAATGTAATCAAAAGCAGATTTCACGGCATTGCGTGGCCTGATGCGTATATGCTAGAGAAGAGTGCGCAAATGGTACATTAAGCCTACGGAAAATGCGTCATGTGCATTGACAGGAAGTACCTCTACTTAAAGAGAGACTTAACTTGCATGAACCCGACAGACGTGTTGATAGCTGGAAGGTCACAATAAGTAAAGGCTAATGCCTAGACGTGTCACTACAATGGCTCTCTTGAGAAATGTACTACCAGCGCTTTGACACGATCCTGATGCCCTGTCAGCGCGGTGCGACGTGCCCTGTGGACTAAAACTGACTCAATCCTAAGGCGGTAGCTCACACGCCCGGAGGCTTGGTCTGAGAGCAGCCTTATTATATGGTAAATAATCCTATTTGCATTGCTTAAGTAGTCAAGTCAGTCATTAGGATTAATTCGGGTTTCTGGTTTTGTAGCCGAACTCGAAGCCGAGACAATGGTGTGAAGCCGAAGTCAAAGCTGAAGCCGATGACCCCTATTTTGGATCTGTGAAACCAAAGCCGACGCCAGTGGCTTTCTATGTTTTAGAAAATAAAGCCGAGTTTGAAACTGTTGACTTTGAGCTTTTTACCCACGAAGCCGAAGGCAAATCCAGAGGCTTTCAGTTTAGAAACGTGAAGCCAAAACCGAACCATCGATCTTAAACGAGCTCAAAGCCATTGCCCATTTAGCGTGCAGCGTTGTTTTGCGAATCTAAAGACTTTTACTGTCTGTAAAAATTGCATGTAATCACCACACATCATCAGGATTCTGTCAAATGATCGGACTGTTAATCTCCGGCCCTCGTCAGTTATTAGTTGGTGTTGAGAATGCCTTGATGCTCTTTGCTTTAAACCATATATGCGCCGCAGCATTGAGAAGTTGTGTAACATTTTGGAGCAAGACCACAGGCAAGACTTTTTGTGAACATAAGATGCAACTACAGGAAAAATCACCACGAAGCATCTGAACCCGGAGATTCAAGGCGGCATGAGGCTAAGACCGCAGTCATAATGCAAATGCCATGTTAGGCGCCAACGTCGAAGAAGAAGTCAGCTCGTAAAAGTAAAACACAAAGCCGAAGCCGGGACCAGCCGTTTCAAATGACGCGACACGGAAACCGAAGCCGAGCCAGCCGTGACTAATGGCTCAGAGCGAGGCCGAATCCCAAGCAATCGTAGAACAAATGCGGCTTCGCGAGGCCCAAGACGAGGCTGCAGATGGCATCAAGTTAAGTTCGAGTTGCAAACGGCCTGAGACGAGTTGGCATTTCTTACAATTAAGGCACGCAACTGATCGGAAGTAGCAGAATAAAATATGTGGCATATGTTTAAGCTACTGACCTTCTGTGATAGTTGAAAAGCATGAAGTGTAAATGATTGATTCTTATGCTATACTTGTAGTTTAAATGTCGACCATAGGTGCCAAAGTCAAACCAGAAAGAGTGTTATGTGTTCGGATGCCGTGACAGTCTTTCAGGGCCGACTACGCAGGCCCATACCACACACTGCTCGCGTGAGGCAGAGCTTGCGTCGTGCGATATGGTTATCTCCTTAGCGTATACCAATTATCCAACTGTATATATCTTGTGGTGTTCTCGGCGATTTCTTTAAGTGAGATAACCGGAATCGGACCAAAATCTGAGTTCTTTTGTGCGAGGGTTGGAGGTTCCTTGATTAAAGTTTTGGAGAGAGCCCCATCGATCGAAGCTCCTGCATCCGTCTCTGTGCCCATGACCAGCTAACACTGTCCAAAAAGAATAGTCTCTGGGCGAAAGAAAACGTTTTCCTCTGCTTTTATACCACCACTCCAGCCAAAAAGTTTAGATGGCCAAGCCAGCATTGGAGGAGGGAGGGAGGGAGGGAGCAACTCAATCTCGGGGGAGGAAGCAGGATCCTCACAAAATAATACAAATCGACTCTCATGGATCCCCTGTTAGGCATTTGGGCACCATAGCTGGCACGGTCCCCCCCCCCTCCCCGTCTCCCATTGTCTCAGGGATCCTGACCAATGCTAGAGGCCTTCTGACTGGTATTTACGGGCACCGGCCCCGTACCTGCTTGGAAAATGCGCCCCGTAGCCGACTCGGGGCCCTTTGTTGGCATCTGGGGACTCGAGCCAGCACGGGGATGCTCAAATTATCCCAGAGATAGGGGATCGGCGCATGACGCCCTCCAAAAACCATGCGAGGGCCCCTGCCCGCAGGACCCGGGCTCGTTGATCCTGGTAATTAATACTGGTAAAAATATCGGTAATGAGCTTGAAGTTGCTCAAACACCCCATTTGCAGACGAACACTTAGGTCGCCAGAAGGACCCCCGAACAATCCCAGGTGTCCACTGGTGACCGAACGGGCCGTGGACGGTCAATAAAGCTCCTGAACACTCAAGAGGAGGACGCCACTGGCCGGGGGCTCCCCGATAGCCAGTGGGGTCCCTCAGGAGGCCGAGAGGCCCTCAGCAACTAAAACGGCCCATGAAAGGCCAGAGGAGCCCTGACCACATAAAGCCCGGAGAGATCAAGCGGCTGTTGGATGGTTCCGAGGTGTTCTTGGTGTTCTGAAGGGACTTTGAAATGCCGGATAGCCCTAAGTAGATATAACGGCCCTCAAACAACCAGAATGAGTCTGGTGGCCAGGAAAAGCCCACCGAACGGCTGGAGGGCCTGGGGTTACCGCATGTGTTTACTGCACATATAGAGGGAGCAATTTATCACTGTCTGAAATCCAATTCTGCAAAAAACGCGTTTGTAATGTTTCGTATTCAGTACGGTTATTTTTCCAGGCTACGTGAGCCAAACGGGGCCCTCCTAAACGGTCCGTGGACTCCGGATCACCAATAGGTCTATTTTCAGGGCTCAGACTCTTCCCGACCCCCACAGGATCTCCAGCTATGCACAAGAACACCGCCCTCTCTCTAGAAATGTTGACATTAAATTGCATGTGATTGGAAAAGCAATAAACACGTAACACTAAATATATCAGCAACATGCATGTTGTACACCATGCATAACATTTTACCATCAGAGTGCAAAGGCTCGAAGTCCTGCCGTTCTGCTGCAGGCACAACAATCGCAATTCATTAGTCAACCGACTCATCATGCCGTGCACCGCACACCTACTCGCCAGTTGCTGGCTTGTTACATCGACACAACGCTGCGATGGACGCTGTATCTTACTGCAACAGGCAAAATTTAGCTTACACCCAAGTCAACATCTGTGTCCCTGCTTCAATATTGTACTGTATTTTTATTGCTTTGTTGCAGCCATGCAGTGTGATTAATGTGTTGCTCAACTATAACTGGATTGATACGACTGAATCACTCCTGGTTATGCCAATGTCTGTTTGGGACATCTCCGCTGCGGGAAGACACGACGGGGTTTCAGCTACTTCGCAGCCATTTTGTTTGGATACAAGCTACTTGTGCTTGACAGATGTTTGACGCCGCGTAAAAATCAGCGTTCTGGCAGACCAATTCTTTTCCCGTCGGTTGTGACAGGCAACTAAGCTCTAATAGCTGCTCTTCTGAAGCCGTTGTCAAGCTTCGAAAGTACGTTTCTAAACATCGGCAACTATCGATTGTTCAAGTTATCGACCTCCATTTTTTTACAGACCATGTTCATTCGCGATCACAAGCACGGCTTGAAACGATGAAAGCCGACAATGTAACCGGAGTTTCCTTGACTACGCCGCTTAACCAGCACCTTTGGGAATATTGGAGGTCGATCACTGCCATGATAAGAAGTTTGGGACTCAAATGAAGATACTCTATATAAAAAAATGCCTTATGTGCCTGCTTTTCGGCATTGAGTTCGGAGTACCTGTGCTGGCAGCCATCGGCCTTCAATATACCACGAGGTACCGGGAGAACGACTTTGGCAAGCAGAGGTTGATTACATTACATGCAGGCTTGGACTTTATTACAAGTCATTGTTTATACTGTTGGGAAACAATGATCATTTTCATAAATAGCCTATCGGAAACATCAGTTATATTGTGAATACTTGCCCCGAGTACCGACCAGATAACTCAGCATACACACTCCGGCCAGGATGCACACTCCGAACTCCGTGATAAAGTTGGAGATCAACAATAAGCCAGCCGGGGCATGTTTTCAGACCCGGGAACAGCCAACTAACACCAACAAAGTGCAGGTATATCATGAAATGTGAACTCATCTTTAAGTTGCGGAGTTTTTCTGAGCACAGCGCACCATGTGACCGCCCAGAAATCTCGTTACGCATGGAGGAAAGAGGAGTTTTTGATCGAGCGTAACGAAAGCGTAACGGGGAGGGAAGCCAGGTTTGGACAGCGTAACGCAACAGCCAACAAGTCAGGCTTATGTATTTTTAAAAGGATGGATGCCTGCAAGCAGGAAAGGGTTGGCTGCCGGCATGACAGGGAATACGTCAGTTATTTATCTCGCAAATTTAGCTCACTTAGGGCCAAAGCAGACATTTTGGGAGGGACGCTGCACCCAGAACAGCGTGAGACGGGATTTGCGCAGCATTCGCAACTCATATCCAGGAGTGGGGAGGAGGAAGGGAAGACCAAAATGCGCGTCGTATTTCATGGGTGGCACGTTGGGTCTTTCGAGGTGCTGGAATTCAAAGCAAGGCGAACAACGGGGTGCCGAACATGCAAATGAATCAACCCAACACAAATTTAGACAGAGCCAGGCGCTGGTTGGAACTTGGACGCACTCTTGGATAATGAACGCATCCCGGCCACGGGTGTGCAATGAGTCCTGGATACGTCAACAATCGAAATATATGCAAAAAAGACTATACACAGCACACGCCCAGATAAAAATGTATTCAAATTTTAACAGCAAGCAGAGAGCTTTTACCCCACGTGACATGTCTTCGCATCCGGAGACAAGTGACAAGTTCCGGGTGACAACGCTGACACCAAACCCGTCCCCAATTGAACCCATGGCTCTTCGGGTTATCTACGGTCCACTGCCTACCCATCTCGATGTAGCAGCTGCTGAACGAACTCAAGCTCCTGAATGACGTCATCAAAAATCATCTGTCCCTCCCGGCACTCTCCCGTCAGCGCGCTCGCCACACCAACGAGCGCATATGCCTCATAGTACTCCGTGCTCTCCGGCGGTGGCGGCTGTCCCTGCCCGGCCGCCGACGGCGGCGGCACCTGCGGCGGCGGCAGCGGCGGCGGCGGCGGGTGCGGGTGCGTCGGCGGGTGAGGCGGCGGGTGCGGGTGCGGGTGCGTGCCAGAGTTCACCAGATCAAACAGGCCGTGCGGCAGGTTGAAGCCGGCGCGGCCTCCAGAGTCGCGGCCGTTCTTCCCCTTGGCAGAGACGGGAGTCTGCGCCGGCGCCGGCGTCACTGCCTGCTCCGGGGCCGGGGAGGTGGCGGCAGGGTCGGCACCAGTCGCCGTGTCGCCGGCGGTCGCCGTGTCTCGCCGGGCACGAGACTCGGCCGCGGCCGTCTCCACCGGCGGCCGGAAGCCCTTCGATAGCTGCTCGTACGCCGCGACCGGCCCGGCGGCGACGGCAGCGGCGGCTGCGGCGGCGGCGGCAGCTGCTACGTCAGAAGCCTCGGCGGCGGCGGCGGCGGCGGCGGCGGTGGGCTCCTCTGCAGTGTCGTTCTGCGAACTCCGGAAGAAGGGCGGCGGCGGCAGCGGGCCCGGGGGGAAGAGGGGCGGCGGTGGTGGCGGCAGAACACATGCCAACAGAGCACCACGGTCCGGCTGGAAAACAGACCGATCAGAGAAGTGGTCATACTGAAGGACAGCAGAACAGAAACACTAACATGTCGTTTTAAACCGCGTCTTCCCTGCGGATTCAGGGACGTGAGCCATCGTGTCGATAGCTGTTACCTACCCCAGAACGAGTACCGCCCAGTGCTATTCACTACACACGAACCCCACTCCTCACACAGCCGCCGCCCAGATCCCGCTCAGCATGATGCGGCAGCACATGTCCATTAAAGTGTTTTGTTCGGTAATACAAAATAGAAAGCAGATTCTTTGCTCGGGAAAACATTACTTCAGTTTTTCTGTCTATGCCGGTGAGCCATAAATTTAGGTGGCAGCACGGCAAAGTACAGGATACAATACAATTCACGGCCCGCAAAGCACAGGATATAATACACTTCACAACCCGCAAAGTATAGGATACAATACACTTCACAACCCGTAACACAAGGTGGGGCACGCAAGGGGCGCTCTTACGCGCACATCCCGCGTGCGTGGAACAGGGTACCTGGGTGCATTCTGCACCCAGTCGCGTACAGGTACAGACGTCCCGCTCAGCCGAGCTGGCCGACCCGTGTCGCCGCCGGCGGTGTACTCACTATGCAGCGCAGGTCGCGCGGGCAGACGTAGAGGGCGCGCTGCCGCCCCTGGCCGCGCGGAGGCGGCGGGCCCGCCGCGAGGAACGCCGGGGGCCCAAACAGGGCTGAACTGCGGCCCTCTGGCTCGTCGGCATCCGCGGCGGCCGCCGACGAGAACGGCACCGGGAACGGCCCCGGGTACGGGCCCGGGTACGGACCCGGGTACAGACCCGGGTACGGGCCCGGACGCGGCTCCGTGAACGGCACGGGGAACGGCGGACGCTGCAAGGGACGAGAGGTCGGGTGACGAAGCGTCGATGCGGGCCAAAACTGCGGGATCGAGGGGAGAGACTCCAAGACAGTATCGGCTATCACGTGTTGGTGGCCGGACAAGCAGACCAGGCCTTAAACTGTCAGAACGGTGTGGCCGAGCGCCCGGACCCATCGTGCACCCAAAACATACACCAACGGAAACGGCCGACGGAAAAGGTGGACGACGGCAAACGAGGCTGGGCTCCGAACCGTATCGGCAGAACCAAACCCCACCGTCCGACCCCGGCACTGGTGATACGAGATCTGACAAGATAAAATAGAGCGCGCAAGACATAACGATAACATACAATGATAACATAGTGATAAGAAACGATAAGATGCAATGATAAGATATACTGACAACGATACAATACGACCATACATTGATAAGCCCCCGGAGGTAATGACCATATGCTCTTCTGGCACACGATGTACCAGGCCCATCTGGCGCACCTGCTTCAGGGTCTTGAGATGCTGCGCCAGATCCTGACAGTCTGGGTCGTGGCGGGCGCCGGTCTCGAACTTGCGCAGGATGTCTCGCCGGTCCGGCTCGCCGAACTGCCCAAACAGCGGGCGCGGGAACGGTTCGACCCGCCCCGCCAGCCGGTCACCACGCACTGGGGAGAGCGCGCCGGCTACGGTCATCAGAGGTTGCCGCCAGTCAGGGGACCTGAGGTTAAGCCCGTCGGGGGCACCTGGGGTTACCGCCCGTCAGGGGCACCTGGGGTTACCGCCCGTCAGGGGCACCTGAGGTTACCGCCCGTCAGGGGCACCTGGGGTTACCGCCCGTCGGGGGCACCTGGGGTTACCGCCCGTCAGGGGCACCTGGGGTTACCGCCCGTCAGGGGCACCTGGGTTACCGCCGTCGGGGGCCTGGGGTTACCGCCCGTCGGGGGCACCTGGGGTACCGCCCGTCAGGGGCACCTGGGGTTACCGCCCGTCAGGGGCACCTGAGGTTACCGCCCGTCAGGGGCACCTGGAGTTACCGCCCGTCGGGGCACCTGGGGTTACCGCCCGTCAGGGGCACCTGGGGTTACCGCCCGTCAGGGGCACCTGGGGTTACCGCCCGTCAGGGGCACCTGGGGTTACCGCCCGTCAGGGGCACCTGGGGTTACCGCCCGTCAGGGGCACCTGGGGTTACCGCCCGTCAGGGGCACCTGGAGTTACCGCCCGTCGGGGGCACCTGGAGTTACCGCCCGTCGGGGGCACCTGGGGTTACCGCCTGGCAGGGGCACCTGGGGTTACCGCCCGTCGGGGGCACCTGGAGTTACCGCCCGTCAAGGGCACCTGGGGTTACCGCCCGTCAGGGGCACCTGGAGTCACCGCCCGTCGGGGGCACCTGGGGTTACCGCCCGTCGGGGGGCACGTGGGGTTACCGCCCGTCAGGGGCACCTGGGGTTACCACCCGTCAGGGGCACCTGGGGTTGCCACCCGTCAAGATCAGCGGGGGTTGCCGCCCGTCAAGGTCACCTGGGTTCTCCACCGGTCAAGGTCACCCGGCTTTTCTACTGGCAAAGGTCACCCGGGGTCGCCACCTTTCAGTGTCACCCGGGTTCTCCACCGCCCAAGGTCACCCGGGTTCTCCACCGCCCAAGGTCACCCGGGTTCTCCACCGCCCAAGGTCACCCGGGTTCTCCGCCGCCCAAGGTCACCCGGGTTCTCCGCCGGCCAAGGTCACCCGGGTTCTCCGCCGGCCAAGGTCACCCGGGTTCTCCGCCGGCCAAGGTCACCCGGGTTCTCCGCCGGCCAAGGTCACCCGGGTTCTCCGCCGGCCAAGGTCACCCGGGTTCTCCGCCGGTCAAGGTCACCCGGGTTCTCCACCGGCCAAGGTCACCGGGGTTCTCCACTGGCCAAGGTCACCCGGGTTCTCCACCGGCCAAGGTCACCCTGGTTCTCCACCGGCCAAGGTCACCCGGGTCCTCCAACGGCCAAGCCACCCAGGTTCTCCATCGATCAAGATCACCCAGGTTCTCCATCGTTCAAGGTCACGTGGCATCGAAAACCGCAACGACTTATGGACGGTGATGACAGATCCGGGAAAAGGGGGAGGAAAGGCAGTGCCAAAGGTCTGTGCAAGAGCGAAACCATCCCCTGTTCATGAGTTACAAGTCGCCACAATGGCACAGCGCCGCTGGCCCCGCGTCCGCTTCCAGAACTGAATCCAGGGAGCTGGAGAAACGGCTCGTTCAGCGATCAGCGGGATACGGTGACGAGCGTTACTGCTGAAGATCGGCTCCAGGGATTCAAAAGTCACGCGCAGACGACAAAAACCACCAGGGCGAAGGTAAAAATAACCGAATGGTGTCTCGCTCGCAAACCGACAAGTGTTGCGACAAGTGTTTTTTATTCTCTTTCCCATGTTCAGATTTCGTTCTTCCATGTGACACGGCAGCCCCGGGCGTTGATTTCCCTGAGGAGCAATTCGGAGCGCGGCGCATGACAAACATTTCCAGGGAGGCGCGTATCGTCTGCCACCGCGGCTGGCGGCCGTGCCTAGCCTCCGCATCCCGCTGGTGAGTAGGTCGCGCCACCCACCTCAGCTGATGGATGTGGTGCAACAGGCCCTCATCCGGCAGGCAGACGGGCGCCACGTGCAGGGTACTCTGTGTCGTCCAGGTCCGGCGTGATCCGCAGCATGGCCAGCCGGCCCTGCTCCCGCAGCGGCCCCCACGGGCCGTGCCATACGCGCCCTGCGCACGCACGCGCACAGTCAAGCGGACCCAGCCGGAAGAGAGCTCGCCACCTCGTGAAACGTAGCTAATGCTAGCGTCAGGCCATGCGGCCAGGCTGACCGCCTTAAAACGTTCGGCTGAACTGGTTACAAACACAAAAGGTTAGGAAATCCAGCACATTGCTTCGAGACGATCAACCACATCATTACATTATCCAATGTTTTCGGGGAGCCAGCAGGCAGCTAATCAAAGATCAGGAGACGGTGTGGACCATTAGGTCCATCAGTTACTTTCATATCACCACGTGAGCGGTGCGAGAGAGTACACGTGCTGGCGGAGCGGAACGCGGACCAGACGAGCCGGGCGCCCACCTGGCGACGTCTGCACGCGCTCGACGTCCAGCGCCACGGGCGGCAGGTTGACCGGCTGCGTCTCGTCCAGGTTCCAGTCGCCGACGGTGACCTTGAGGTCCTCCGCGTCGACGCCGGCCACGCAGTCTGCTGAGGTGAGCACCCACGCGGCGTGCACGAGCGCGCCGCTGCAGGTGAACTCGTGGTCCTCCTTCACCGTGCGCGTCCACACCGCCGCCTGCCGGCCGTCGCCAGAGGCGCCAGTCAGGCGAGGCGAGGCGAAGCGAGAGGGTTGAGGTCGAGGGGTAGAGGTCGGGCAAGGCGGAACGGTGGATCCGGGACGGCCGGACGGGGTAGGCGATCGCTGCCGACTGCGATCTGACAGGGGAATCGCCCCAAACAACCGTTGCGAGCTCGAGTGCAGACTGCTGATCAGTGCGCTATCAAACCGTTTGCGCGAGGGAGCCTCACGACGCGTAAACAGATTCAAATGATACAATCCGGCATATCACGCTATGGTTTAAAATCATCGACAAGAGGACTCTTGTTTTCCCACCTCCCTAACCGAACGACCGCAGACCGGTGTCGCACGCAACACACCCATGTCAAAACTCGGAAACCACTCAGGACACCACCGGTGTCGAATCGCGCCAGCGGCACGTCTCCACCACACAGCCGCCGGTCACACAGCGTCACACCTGCCAGGGGAACTCCCCGAACTGAGCGGCGCCGCGCCTGCCGTCGTCATGCGGCCCCAGCGGCGGCAGCAGCGGCGGCGGCAGCGGGCGCGGCGGCGGCCGCGGCAGGAACGGGTTGGCCGCCTTGCCGAGCACGCCGCGCCTCTGACGCCCGCCGCAGCGCGGCGCCACCGGCTCCTGCCGCAGGCTGTGTCGCACGCGCCGGATGTGGCAGATGAAGTCGCGCTCGGCGTCGCAGCTTCCGGTCGCCCAGACGCCGGGCGACAAGGAGGCGCTCTTCGGCAGGACGAAGAAGGCGCAGGCGTTCCGGCGCGTGGCGTCCTCGCGTGACGCGAAAGTTCCGGTAGCTGCCGGGCGTCAGCAGGCTGCCTGGCGGGCGGCGAACACGGCGCGCGTGACAAGGGAGCGCCGTCGCGGCACCGGTCAAGGGGGCGTCCGCTGGACGGTCAGGGCGTCCGCTGGACGGTCAGGGCGTCCGCTGGACGGTCAGGGCGTCCGCTGGACGGTCAGGGCGTCCGCTGGGACGGTCAGGGCGTCCGCTGGACGGTCAGGGCGTCCGCTGGACGGTCAGGGCGTCCGCTGGACGGTCAGGGTGTCCGCTGGACGGTCAGGGTGTCCACTGGGACGGTCAGGGCGTCCGCTGGACGGTCGGGGGCGTCCGCTGGAGGGTCGGGGCGTCTGCTGGAGGGTCGGGGCGTCTGCTGGAGGGTCGGGGCGTCTGCTGGCGGGTCGGGCGTGCTGGCGGATCGGGGCGTCTGCTGGCGGATCGGGGCGTCTGCTGGCGGATCGGGGAGTCTGCTGGCGGATCGGGGCGTCTGCTGGCGGATCGGGGCGTCTGCTGGCGGGTCGGGGCGTCTGCTGGCGGGTCGGGGCGTCTGCTGGCGGGTCGGGGCGTCTGCCGGCGGGTCGGGGCGTCTGCCGGCGGGTCGGGGCGTCTGCCGGCGGGTCAGTGCGGGTAAACAACGGCGGGTCGTGTGCACAGTCCCGCGACGAGATCGGACGGTTCGATGTGGATCGCCATAATGTGGCAAGTTGAACGGACCATATCAACGCACTACACGCGTCTGCCCACATACATACAGACATTCAAAACCCAGACCACTAAGTGACAGCAGAGTTATAGTCCAAAGTCTTCAAGTCTTAGACTGAACACATGAACGGCATTTACAGCGGATTTGGGTTTATCGTACATCTGCAGTTTCATCTGGTTATCCAACATGCGGACTCCCGTCATGCCTCATGATCACGCTCGTTGGTCTTGCCAAAAACGTAACGTCACGTCACGCTTCGTCTTACCGTTAACAAAGCGGAACGTTCCGCTGCCATCTGAACTCAAACCAATGTAGTACTTGCTAGCCCCGAGGACCTCGAAACCCTTCAGCATATCCACTATGTCTTGATTCATCTATAACACGGACAATACGTGAGGCACGTCGTACATTTCTTATCTACATCTCAATGTCTTGTGACCTCAGACCCCCGTGACCTCAGACCCCGTGACCTCAGACCCCATGACCTCAGACCCATGACCTATGACCTCAGACCCCATGACCTCAGACCCCATGACCTCAGACCCCATGACCTCAGACCCATGACCTCAGACCCATGACCTCAGGTCCGTGGCCTCAGACCCATGACCTCAGGTCCGTGGCCTCAGACCCATGACCTCAGGTCCGTGGCCTCAGACCCATGACCTCAGACCCATGACCTCAGACCCATGACCTCAGACCCATGACCTCAGACCCCGTGACCTCAGACCCATGACCTCAGACCCATGACCTCAGACCCATGACCTCAGACCCATGACCTCAGACCCATGACCTCAGACCCAGACCCGTGACCTCAGGCCTGCGACCTCAGGCCTGCGACCTCAGGCCTGTGACCTCAGGCCTGTGACCTCAGGCCTGTGACCTCAGGCCTGTGACTCCAGGCTCACTCAGCGCACCCGTTGGAGTCGGACGGTCAGGCAGGTCACCGGCCGTCCTTGCTGACAGCTAGCCCGGGCGCCAGCCCAGCTGCGCTGCTCGACCGCGCCGCCCTCTGTCGGCCGCACTAGGCCGTCGCCCAGCGGGAAAGTAAGACCTCGCGGATCCTCTTGCTCGCAACCGCGTGCCCAGCTCGTCCACATAGCACGGCTCTGCCCGGACGGCGGCGCGTGAGAGGCCAGATCCTGGCGGCCATGACGGCCACGGCGCGCAGCGGGCGGCGGCTAGTCTCGGATACTGCTGAACATTGTGACATCTGTGTGTTTAGCTGCAAGCCTGCCCTCTCGTGGGTCGATGGCTGTGTGGGAGCCATCACAGCCTTGCGCGATGCGTCACGCTCTAACCAGCAGCAGGTTAGGACAGGACAGTGGAGTGCCAGCAGGACAGTGGAGTGCTGGACACTGGACACACAACACAGCGCTCCATCCGAAATGAGAGGCCATCCACGGGAGTCTAGTCCCTGCTGTCCCTGCTCCTCAGAGCACGGACAGCGGGGACCAGGCCAGCGAGGCCTTCACACCCCAATGGTGGGGGCATACAGAACAGTTCACGACATGCGGGCAGCGCCTCGCCGGCACCGTGAAGCGGGAGACAAGCGGGACGGCCTGCCGTACCTGGGTAGTGGTTGGCATCCACAGCACAGCACAGCCGGTTCTTCTGCTTCATACAGCGGGCAACGCTGGCGCTACCTGCGCAGAAGGAGCGGCGCCATGGCGGTCGCATACGCAAGCGGAGGCACAGACGTACTGATCTCGCTCGACGCAACACTGATGCGGCTGGTCAGACTCCACAAACGCTGCCCCCTCCAGCGTCATATTTGTAACACATGCATGGTGAAAGGCGAAGGCCGGTTCCAAATGAACATTTGGTTGGATTATACGGCCCTGTCGTCTGCACATCCCCCATACGTTATCCTACGGCCCACTCCCTCAGCTCAGTCTGTCCGAGCGTTGTCTTCCAGACTACCCGTGGCGCTTTGGGTGGATGTGGAGTCGCTTCGGTGCTCGCTATTTGCCCCCGGCTCGGATGGCACGCGGCCGGTGGCAGCGACCGCATCACCACGGTCAGGAGGCGAGGCCAGAAGACCGCTTGGGCCATGATGAGCATTGCGGCGCGTTACAGAATCTCGCGACCAGATGGGGCAGTCAGGGTTCACACGTCAAACGTTGCTTGGCGAGATCTGACCCCAGAAATCCATCCCATCAAAATGTTCAAGTCAATTCGAGTCGTTCAGGCTATAAACGTCTAATGGAGTGAAGAGAGACTTCGCCAAAATCAATTGCACGCTAATCAGATGACACCAGCCCAGCGGAAAATCCCAACCCTGGCAATAGTGCGTGTGCGTGGGCGGGGGGGGGGGGGGCGGAGCGAGGGGGGTAGAAGAGCACAGCACTTCCCAATATGCGTTGCGCCAGGCGAGATACCTCCTAGGTCAAAATAAATGCACTTCGGGACACTTGTATGCAGACCGTTAGAGATAGGCCTAACTGACCCGTCTCGCAGACGTAGAAGGCCGTGGACTCGCAGCTGGCGCTCTCCAGCTGAGACAGCGAGTCGGTCCGGGACGTCGCCTTAAGGCATTGCTTCGACTTGGAGCCTGCCGAAGTGTTTGGGAGTAAATGGGACCGCACATCGCCAATGCCTTCGTCAGCCAGCGATGGCGCTTCGTCACCGACTATAAACATCGATTACGCACGACTTGTTTGTACTCTTACACGGATGTATTGAACCTGCACTAAACTCGTATTCGTGCGGACATTTGTGTATTGCCGACCCATGATTTGGCGACGGTTTTGGACACGTAGGAGTGAAACTAACTCAGGATTGGAGGACTGCTGCAAGCAGGTGAGAGAAAGTACGTGGGATCTGCCACATAGTGAGTTTTAACAGCAGAAAAGAAGGATGCAGTGTGGAAAGTGTGTCAACACGAATACAGATTTCAGTCGTACACAACTGGACGTCAGCATTCGTGCTGCGATAGTATCCTCGTTCCTGCCTTACCATACCAGCTTTTAGCAGCACCTCCCATCCGCGGAAAATGAACGCGACGCAGAATGTCAAATCGGAGTGGGGTAGGGAATACTCGCCTTAAAGGAGCAAGTAAGGCGTGAGCTATGGAGCGGGGCAGCTACATACATTGCTGAACTGCATGCGATAACGACAAAGCCCGACGATACAACGCCAAATCCCCCGCCCAGTCATCAACAGTCAGTCAACAGTCAGTCAACAGTCAGTCAACAGTCAGTCAACAGTCAGTCAACAGTCAGTCAACAGTCAGTCAACAGTCAGTCAACAGTCAGTCAACAGTCAGTCAACAGTCAGTCAACAGTCAGTCAACAGTCAGTCAACATCCATCAACAGTCGGTCAACAGTCGGTCAACAGTCAGTCAACAGTCAGTCAACAGTCAGTCAACAGTCAGTCAACAGTCAGTCAACAGTCGTCAACAGTCGTCAACAGTCGTCAACAGTCGTCAACAGTCAGTCAACAGTCAGTCAACAGCCAGCTGACCGGCGACGGCAATCACCGTCTGTAGGCGGCTGGAGGCCAAGCGTCTCAAAGTCGATCGGTTCGCCGGTGGTGGCCCAAAGCCAGAGGGCGCGGCCGTCGTCCCAGAGGCCGTCCGTCCAGTGCGGCCCGAAGCGGGAGAGCACGGTCAGCTCCTCGGAGCTCTCCAGCACGGGCGGGTGGGCGCTGAGCGCGGCGCACTCGGCCACCGCCTCGTGCCGCGTCACAGGCAGCTCGGGCGACACCAGGTAACAGCTGGTCAGGTCCAGGGAGTCCCAGCCGGGCCGGCACTGGCCTGCCGGGCGGACGGGCGCCGGTCACAGCCGAGGTCAGCACGGGGGTAGCGTGTCAAGCACGGGACGGTAGTCTGAGCCGTGGTCAACACGATGGGGGGGAGGGGGGTCTAGCGAGGGACGGAGCCGCGTTCGGAGCGAGGTCAACATGGGGGGGGAGCAGCAGCAAGGCGTCCGTGTCTGGCGAGGGACGGTGGTCAGAGCCGCGTTCAGAGCGAGGGCAACATGGGTGGAGCAGCAGCAAGGCGTCCGTATGTGGCGGCAATGTTGCGTGCTGGCCGTGAACATCAGAACATAAGAGGTGATCAGGGCAATATCTAGCGTGTTCCTAGATGAGCTGAATGACATATTAAAATATATCATATCAAAACATATCCAAGTGGTTGCATACAAAAATCCAGCAAAGCCTTGAGTTTGTATCAAACGTATACACTATTGTTGCTCATAGGACGGCAGCAGAGCAGAGCAGAGCCCACCAGCTCCCTGGCCACACCATTCCCGCAAACGCTCACCCATCGTGTGAACGGCTCGACAGTGGAGGGGGTCGAGTGGGGTGGGGTGGGGTGGGGTGCGGGGCGGGGCGGGGGTGTACTCACGGGAACAGTCCTCGGGGTGCACGCACTTGGTGTCCGGCGGACACACCCCGCCGTGGAACTGCTTCTGAGGCCGCGGTCAGGTGCACCGGCGGCAGCGGCGGCAGCGGCGGCAGCGGCGGGAAGGGCGGCGGTGGCGGCACGAGCCCCACCGCTCCGGCCGCGCCCAGCGCCGCCACCAGCAGCCAGACTGGAACGGGCGCCCCCACCCGCCCGGCGTCACGGGGATGCGGGATGAGGGGTCGATGGGCTACAGACTGCCGTGTCCGCACCGCGGGTAATGGCATACGGGTTCGTTGATCGTACACGTCTTCATGACTATCCATCGCAAGCTTTCCAGAGCTACCGCAGCTTCAGACAGACGCGATGCACCCCCGGCGGTGGAATCTCACGGTATGGGGCGGCGGGTATGCCAGCGCAATTTACTCCTTGGCCTACCGTGTATGATAATCAAGCTCACTTCGCCCGTCGCACGCCATTTACATTACGATAAGATGCTAACGCACAGCTCTGCATGGCGATTTAAAACAAATGTATGGATGCAAGCCTTCAAGAAAAAGTCCAAGCATGATCAAAAGCAAATAACAAACATTCACAGACGCCATCACAATCTTACGGCGTATCATAGCGGCGCTCCGCTGAGCGAGTCCGTCCGCACCGGCGCTGCAGCACCTCCACTGGCACGGGTCGCGACCCCAGACTGACCGCGGCCGGCGCCGAGGTCACAAGGTCACCGCCACCGCCCGGGGCGACCGCCGCGGGCCATCGAGCGGCGGCGCCCCCGAACGGCGGACGCTGAAAACTGCAGACGATTGCCCAACGAGCTGCATTGAGGTGGGAATAAAGACAGTGAGTAAATGTTTGCACTCTTCTTGAATGGTTCCAAGCTCATCCAACTTCGAGCCGTTCCGTCAGGAAAACGGATATTGACAGGACATCATGAGCTATGCATTTTCGAGCCATGGACTTTCCCGGCATGAGGGTGTTTATGCAGCAAAATCGCTCTCGCTTCATCGCTGGTTTCTTTCATCGGCGCGTCCACCAACGGAACGAAGCGTGTCGTTTCTTCCACTGGTCACGGCAGGCGCTACGTGGACACGTGTCGTGTCTGTGAGACCGCACGTACTCAACGTTAGTCGCCAGGAGCGACAAAAACATCGCAGAACTGCCCTAAAATGACGTTCCCGCTTTGGCTACACGGCCTTTGTCTACCGCGCTCTCGGTGCACGCATATATGAACTGCAAGACAGCTGGTTTCTTTGCACTGACGCGTCACGGGTTTTATGTGCATAGGCAATTGGCGCCAGTGGTACGGTGCACCTCTGGATTAACTCAGGACGCGCCGAAGCCTCGATTGCGAGTCAGCAAGACAGAAAGTCAGAAAATGCAGCTATTTTTCATTTCAAATGTGGCACCTTGGATAAAACATCGCCTGCTACAGCTGCGAGAAAAGTTGGTCAACATAGATGGCTACCGAGTGAACGATATGGTACCAGACACCAAGCTGAAGAAAACGTTCCACTGTACATATATTTAAGAAGCAAAATTAAATAAATCTACAACATTAACCATTGATGAACAAAATAAACATCGCCACCATGCAATGCAGTTAACAGTTGTGAACGCAAGGTTCCCGACAGTAACCATACAACTGAACTCCACGTGGTATAGGCGAAATGCCCCATATCTCACGATGACCCAGATCACCACAGGAGCCCACAACAAGCTCATCAACGAATCAGGACGTCCTCAACCGACAGACAGCTGATAATCGGTACAGGCATTTAGGTGTAAGTGCGACAGTAACAGTGGACAAATCGCAGCACGCATACGTGAAATATGCATCACACAGGTATTTACACCGCAAGCGGTAACTCCGCTCCCTGGACATGCCGAAACCCAGGCATCTTTGCATCTCCATGTACAGATACGCGCCCAGGGATAAGGCAGGTCAGACGACTCGCACTCTCCACGCGGCAAACATCATCACAGTGCGCACCGAAACGGAAGGCATGTGCAGACCCGCACATGTACACACAGCAGGAACTAAGACGGCCGCTGCCCACCCGTGGGGCCCGACAAGACCGCCCGCCAGCCCGCATCACACTCCGCCCGAGTCCAGAGTCCAGCCGCAACCGTCACCGCCGCGCCGACGTCGGCCACGCCGCCGCGCCCGGACGGGCCCGCCGGCTCGCCGCGACGGCGCCGTCTCCAGCGCCGCCGGCGGGGGAGACGACGGGAAGACCCAGCGCGGGCCGAGACCCGCCCCGCCCTGAACTGCCTGATCACGCCCCTGCTCGCCCAGGAGGCCGCGGCCGCGCCGGGTCACGAGCGCACCCGAGTCCCGACCCCGGCTGGCGTCCCGCCACAGCCGGACACGCCGGACACAGCCGGACACGCCGGACACGCCGGACACGCCGGACACGCCGCCGCGCCACCGCCCAGCGGACCCGGCGGCGCTACTGCATCTTGCTGATCTCGAACTTGGCCTGCATCACCTCCTCGTCCGAGTCGACGACGGGCAGCGCCGTCTCGGACAGCGAGGCCGGGATGTTGTCCTCCACCCACCTGCCGGGGCCGGACGGGGTCAGGCGAGCGCCACGGCGCCGGTACGTCACGCCGGCTCACGACACGCGACGCACCCTCCACAGCGCGGCGGCTCCTCCAGCTCTGACTCGCCGGGAGAGGAGGAGGGATCAGCAGTCGGCCTGGCATCAGCCGGCCCGCCACCTGGTCATTCTCCTCCGCCGCTACCGCCGGCAGCAGTCGGAGCACAGGGTAGACTTTCCTCCGCCGCTACCGCCGGCAGCAGTCGGAGCACAGGGCAGACTCTCCTCCGCCGCTACCGCCGGCAGCAGTCGGAGCACAGGGCAGACTCTCCTCCGCCGCTACCGCCAGCAGCAGTCGGAGCACAGGCCAGACGGACGCGACATCTGACTACGCGCCCCGTCCCATTCCAAGCATGCTCACGCTATCACCAGCAGAGTGTGTGTGTGTTGGGGGGGGGGGGGGGGGAGCTCGGCCAGTCACCTCTGCGTCACAGTGCGACAAGAGCACAGGACCGCGCTGGGGAAGCATCACGAACACCGCGGCCTTCCCTGCACATCCCTGCCAGGGACGAATGCTCTCCCTCCCCAGCCGGTGGTGCACCGAACCAGACGGTGTGGGAC